GGATTAAATTACAAAAGGTTAACAAGAGTCTTATATCATCAATATTAATTGGTTAAATTGTATCGGTTGCTATAGTTATTAGATAGTAAAAATAATCTTGTTATTGATGAAACAAAGGATCGATCGATAGAAAGAAAAACTCTTAAATAGAGAATTTTTAGTATAACAAAAAATTAGGAATGTAAGGTCAATGTGTCGACGATAAAAAAATCTTAAAAAACTTCTTTTTATTTTTAACTTTTGATTGAAATAAAAAAGAACTTAAACTTGATCATGATAAAAAAAAATCAATATCGGACTCATTAAAAACTATGAAATGTGTTTATTATTAGATAATTACTATAAAAATTATATATATTTTATTAAAATATTCAATATTTAACTAATTTTAGGTTGGAGGTTAACTATTGGATGTTTTGGTAAGAAAAGTATTGTTTTGAGTTTGGAAGGTTTAAAAATAATTTGGTAGATTTTTCTAAAAAGGTTTTTTTTTTTTTTTTTGGATAATTATCCCAAGACTTTTATTACGATAATAATCACCTATTAAGAATCGACCTGTTGGTAGGGTCCTCTAGGAGGATAGCATATGAAAGCTGTCACAATTTAAATAATTTTGATGTGAAAATGCTAATTCATTCAAGGTCTCGAATTTCAACAAAATGACAACACCACACGCCTACTGCCAAACACGAGACGGAATAAAGCATCGGCGACAAACACTACTACTGCCAAAAAAAAGAAAAAGAAAAAGAAGACAGAATTGCATAATAAAACCACAAATTACTTTCATTGGATTTGAATCTTTTCCTAATTTGCCTGTCTTTAAGATTTTCCTTAGGATGGGATACTTCACCTCCTTAATTAATGTGCTAAATTGTAAACTATCATTCTAAACTTATATAAAAAAACCCGAATACATCACGAACAAAAAATATCATAATGTTTATGGTACAAATCAGGAATTATTTTGTTCGGATAGGTATTTATTTTTTCACTTAACTTCAAAGAGTATTTTACAATTTAGCCTAATTAATAAAATCAATAAAATATCTAATGTCATGATGTCCAAACGTTTATTTTGGTCTTTATAAATGTACGAAATTTTCTTAGAAAAATTGTGAATTTGCTTCCAAAATGTTATGAAATAACAATTCGAATGAGTAAATAAGTTTTAATAATAATAATAATAAATCATTCCTACTTTCTCATGTAAACTGGCATATGGTATACTTATTTTCTAATAAATTTTATATTACTTAAGAAGTAATTACTATACATGTACATTTATTACTCCATGAATTCACTTTTTAAGAGAAACATAGACACATAAAAAAGAAGTACAAATGAATCAATTAAAAGTAATAAGAAGATTTTCATCTTAATTCAATTTTTTATTTTTATTTTCTCTCTTCTTTGTGTCTATCTTTCTTTATTAAGCAACTTACACTAGTTACTTCTTGAATATTATAAAATTTCTCTTGTTTTCTCATGTAATGAATATTGATTTTTTTTTAAATTATGATAAACCGTTTACTTTATTTTTCATTCAAACAATTGCATGTGCTCAATAGAAAAAATAAATTGTTAATAGTAAAATTTGAAGGAAGAACCCCTCTAATACTATTATTCATTTAAAATTACCATCTAAAAATAATGATAACAACCGTTGATAGGAATTCTGAAAATAATAATAATAATAATAATAATAATAATGGCTGATATGTTAAATATTTTTGCACGCTATTCTTGTTTTAAAATTTTCACAACAAAAAAATCAAAGGGTGAAAATGACACGTATTACGTGAATAAGTTATTTATTTATTTATTTAACGGTAATGATATTTTTAAATTAATTTATGCATCAACGAAAATTAGGTTTCAGTTCAAATAATTTTAAGAATGCACCATCCATATTAACTTAATTCAGCTTATAAAATAATTTAATAAATTCAATCAAAAAATCTATTTTTCTTCATATTTTATTTTATGATAAGAATATTTTTGAATTAATTTATACTTCAATCAATATTAAATTTAAAATTTTAATAAAATATTTTAGATACCAACTCTAATATTTTAACTTAAAAAATAAAAACAAAAGGAGGAAATTTTCTTAACTAACATGTCAACTCCTTAGAATTGAATAAGTAATCGAATATTCATATTTTAAAAGGTATGAGCTAGATATACACAGTAACATAGGTTTTAATTGACATAGATGGACGTAGTTTGGTCCCTACAAATTTGATATTTTGAGTTGATTCTCATCTCTATCAGAATTTAAACCCTTTACCTTTAAAATCAAATTTCAAATTAACCATTGGATATCCTATTGAATAGGAAAACCAAAATTGGATTCATCATTAAAGGGAAAAGAATAATATATAGAAAGAGAGTCGTTTCGATTCTTAGAAGCACAACTTGGGTCGGAGAATTTTATAACTCAAGGAATTATAAATTAGCAAAAGAGCAATTCTGTAATTCAAGAAATCTAACTTAATCGTTAATAATATATATAATAGTTTTTAAAGTTTTAAATTTAGAAATTAGGTCGAGAAAAAATAAAATTTTTATGAATCTTTCAATCTTAAAAAAAAATTCGTGTTTTTAATTGAACTCTGATATGAGTTTTGTCTTGTAACGTGAAAATTGATCTCAAAATACCTCATAATCTGTTACATCAAGGATACCATTTATAGTGGGGAGAAAATATATAGAATTTTCACCAAAATGCCAATACAAATCTCATATGAGTTCAATTAAAAAAATAAAAATATCAAATGAAATTTTCTTTAGAAAAAGGGCAGAATATAGACACGTGCCATTGTATAATTCGTCATATGACTAATGTTCTGCCTGCAGCTCCACTTCTCCTGTAAAGACTCCGAGGAGGCAGCTGCTGAAAAGGACTAAATCGGCAGAAAAATCGCACTCAGATTAGCAAAAACGTGCTCCCAATACTTACCTATGACATGTAGGCTAACGAGCTTCATCGCTCTCTCTCTCTCTCGGAAAAGGAAGGAACCGTACGCACTGTTTCTGGCAAGTACACTGTACACTAGCCTCTTTCAGTCAAGGATATTTTCGTCATTTGTATTTTCTTCTAAAAAAACAAAAACATTCTGTCGTCACTGTTTCAGTTCATGAATCCAAACGTCCCCTTCGTCTCTTCAAGAGGGAAGGTTAAAAACTGCGGAAAAAAAATATAAATTACTTTTCTTACGTACCAAGAATTAGGAAGAAAAGGGAAATTTTCGTAAAAAAAAAGAAATCAGAGGGGGTGGGGACGTAAATTGCAATCTTTTTGGCTGTTATTCTCTCAGTTTTTTGGAAGTTTTTATGTTACGAAAATTGAAAACTATTTTTGGTCGAATGTATAATTGTTTGTATTTATTTGATAAACTAATTTTTGTAGCTATATGATTATCTCGAGTGGGTATTTTACCTTTTATATCAAGGTTTGGTGTTATGTGCCAGACAGCATTTTCTTCCATTTTTTTTTTTCTTAAAAAAGTTGGTGCAACGTCTAACCGAAAAGGATAAATTATAAATAAGAGAGGAAGATTGATAAAGTGGACATTTGAGATCAATTTTTTTTTTTTTTACCTATTAGATCAAATTTGCACATCAAATTATAAAAAAATTTGCACATTGGTAAAGAAGATTGAAATCGAAAACTTGTCCTTAAGGAGCAAATAAAATAAAATAAAATAAAAATAAAAATAAAAAGAGAAAAACAAGCATTGCAAGATAATTCTTTATGCATAACTAATTTCTAAAACTTTGTCCACGAATTATATAAGTAACACTCTAGATAGGGAATACAACATTCAATACATTCTAGATTATATGGGCTATATTGATTTGATTGAAATCTTTTATTTTATTTTTTTTTCAGCTAACACTTGATGGAACCACCAACATCTTTTAATATTGTTTTACTAGACATAAAAAAAATCACATTATGTTAATATTGGTAAAGTGATTATTATATTACAATCCATTATTTATTTTATGCACTTTTTTTACTATGTTGTAACTAATATGGATTTTATTCGTATTTTTCAAGAGTCCATGTGATAACATGAGATTTGTTATGAGTTATGTGTTAAAAATTACTGATTCATATTTAGTTAAAATTTTTATGGAAGATAAAAAATTAATTCGATCATTTAATATAGAAACATGTTTAATATAATTATATATCCGTATCTAATTGAAAATCAAGGCTTCAACATAATTTTTTTTTTTTAAGTATATAATTGCACAATACTCATTTATAACAATTCTTATTGAAAAGATTTGAAAACTGTATTCTTATTTGTAAGGGCTTTCCTTTTATTTTTAAGAAAATTCTGCATTTTTTAAGGAAAATATAAATACAAACAACAAAAATTCAACCATATCAACGTAAAAAGCAAAACATTTTTTCTACATTCACCATCAAATAACAAAAGAAAAGAGTAATACACACATATATATATATAGAAAAAAGAAAAGAAAAGAAAAGAAAAGAAAAAGTAACAGTACCATGGATTATAAAATTGCTCTATTTATTACCTCTATTGTATTCTAATGAGTCATGCTTGTATGTCTCAATTTTAACCGTGCCTATGCTCACCATAACATGAAAAATAACTTCTGTCCATTACCAAAATTTTCTGTTTCTCTCTCTCTCCCTCTCTCTCTTCTTCCTTTCTCTTCCCTTCCATTTCTCTCCGCATATATATTAAAGAGCAATAACAACAACAACAACAACAACCAAATCTCATCGTCCTCTCTTCCTCCAAAACCCTCTTTCCTTCTCCTCTATAAATCTCTCCATCTTTCAATCGAATCCAGTTTATATGAATTCAATTCTTTTTATTTCTGGGTTTTGATTTTTTTCTTTGCTTGTTTATTGGTTTTTGATTTGAGATAATTTTTTATTGAATTATTAAATCGATTTGGGTTTTGGATCCGCTTTTTTTTTTTTTTTAATTTGTATTATAGGAAAAATAATGAGGGGTAGCGATGGAAGGATTGATGATGACGATGATAAATCTATGAGAGTATAAAAATAATTATAAGAATTTTATAATTGAATTCAATAAAATAAATTACATAATAATAATTTAGGATGCCAGGATTAGCACAGAGAAATGAGCAATTTAGTAATGCGATATCATCTGGAGGCACTTACTCAATTTCTGCTAATGGGTTCTGGTCTAAACATCGCGATGATGTTAGCTTCAATCAGCTCCAGAAGGTAATGGGTTGCCTTTTTCCTTTTTTTTTGGTTTAATTTTGATTGATGAATTAGAGTGTCTGTTTTTGTATATGGGATTGAATTAGATCACTGTTTTTACTTAATTTTGATATTTAATTTGGTTCTTGATTGGATCTTGATGGTCAAATTATTCAGTGAGCTTGTTTTATTAGTTTTTTATGTTGGATTTTTGTATTTCTTTTGTTTCACATTTGGGTTTTCAGTTTTTTATTGACTAGATCCATTTTTAGTTCCTTGTATGTAAATTCACTTATGGACTTCTGTGTTTTTTATTTTTAAAAGAGAGATTGCAATTTTATGTCAATTACGATTGGTTATACTGGTGAAAATTGATTTCAGGTCGAGGCAATGACAATGGTGTTTCTAAAATAGAGATTGGCATTTGTTATATATAATTAGCAAGTTTGTTTCGATGCTTTTAAGTTTGTGTTAGGGATATATTAGATTTTGTTTGTATATTTTCTTTCAGTTTTTGGCCAACTCTTACATGTTGCAAGTTATGATTAGTCATTGATGAAGTTTGATGTACTTCTGACATAGTTCTGGAGTGATCTGCCGCCACAAGCTCGACAGAAGCTGCTGAGGATAGACAAGCAAACCCTGTTTGAGCAAGCTCGTAAGAACATGTACTGTTCTAGATGCAATGGGCTATTGCTTGAAGGTTTTATGCAGATTGTCATGTATGGTAAGTCTTTGCAGCAGGAAGGAGGAGGTGGGCACCTTCCTCGCAACAGACTGGAAGCTGCAAAAAATCTAAATGATTGTGGATCACATGTAACAAATGGATGCCAAGATGAAATTCAAGATCCATCTGTCCATCCTTGGGGTGGTCTCACCACTACACGTGACGGATCATTGACGCTTTTGAAATGTTACTTGTTTTCAAAGTCTCTAAAGGGACTCCAAAATGTGAGTGCTGAGAAAATTTTTTTGTGGAATTCTGTTGTCCTTTTCTAGTTTAGTAGCTGAACTCTTGCTTTAAATCAGGTCTTTGACAGTGCACGTGCAAGGGAACGGGAAAGGGAATTGCTCTATCCTGATGCCTGTGGTGGGGGAGGTCGGGGTTGGATTAGCCAAGGAATGGCAAGTTATGGTAGAGGACATGGAACAAGAGAGACGTGTGCACTTCATACTGCCAGGCTCTCTTGTGACACATTAGTGGATTTCTGGTCAGCACTTGGAGAAGAGACTCGGCAGTCTCTTTTAAGGATGAAGGAAGAGGATTTCATAGAGAGGCTCATGTGCAGGTGTGTTTGCCAATTGCTTATTCTTTATATACAACATTGATTTTGAAATCAGTGGACGAGTTTGAGAACTGAAAGGTAGTTGGCCACTCTGCTTTTCTTGGGGGTTGGAGCTTTTAGATAACTGCTAAGACCAGATGTGACCATATTGGTGAAACTGCCAAAGAAGAGAAAAAAAGTTAATTTGAAAGTTGAAATAATATTTTTCAACTACCGTGCCTCTGAACAGCCTAGAAACTCCAAGAGCGTGCTGTGTTTTGTAAGAATCATAGACCTCTTCTAGTTTATAAGTATTTGCTAAGTCAGAGCTTATATCTTACGACCCCAGCAGTCTCTCTGATGGAATGACAAACAAAAATATCTGGATGGCAATGTGGTTAGGGAGTGATCATTTACCTGTTTTGGATCGAACTGAATGGAGGGGAGTCATCTGCCATTACCGAGAGTTTTTCTCTTTGAGATACTGTACGTTCTGTTTGATAAAAAAGATGCGGTAACATATAAGGAAGTGATGAATTTTGCCAGAATAAGGAATTATTCAACGCATCCTCACGGGGAACCCAAAAACGTCTGTTGATGAAAGCAGTCCATTTTCTGAATTCATCTCGACTGAATATGCTCTCTTTTAGTTAGTTTCTGCTTACATTGTTGCTTTGGGGCCTTTGTAGCTAATGGCCGGATTCTTTATTTGACTATCTTTGAGAGCCTTGCAGATTCCACAAAGTGTTGTGGCTTGTAGATATGTCGATTATTGGTTTAAATGTGTAGATTTACTCTAAGTAGAACTTGGTTGCTGCTGAGTACAGCGTCAAAAAATTAGATTTCTGGTGATGAATTTATCACATTAGACTTTGGTTGCTCTTTTCTCCCCATTAGTCCTATATTTTTATCAAATCCATGGCATAGTGGGTGTGGGATGGCCTAAATAGTAGCCTGCCCTTCTTTTATCTGAAATAGGCTCAAAAAAGTAAACTTAAGAACTCATTGTGGTGGTTAGGATTGGTTTTATGACCTGAACTTCATTGATGAGGAAGTCCCTTCCTATATTAGTTGAATACGAAATGGCACATATCGGTTGCATCATGCTTGTAGTCTCTTTGTAATATATTTTTTCTTGGAAAAGGCAACTGCAATATCCCACGAGTTTAATAGTGGCCTATGTTGTTGTCCTAAGAATCAGAGGTCTCTGTTTCTAATCCATGAAACCTCACCAATGCCCATGGTTTGTGAGTGATTGAACACATAATTAGAATTAGTCAATGACTCAATTGAATGGTTCAGTTTGAAAAAATAGGAAAAAAAAAAAAACTCAGGTTTTACTCACTTTTACCAATAAAAAATTGAATATCATCTATTAGAACCGAGAAACTGTCATTCAGTTGACAACGCTTGTTTAAGATATCTCTTGAAGAGTCTATTGAAATTATTCAACAAAAATTATATACTTGAAGCAAAAATTCTTTTTTTTTTTTTGAGTGTCCTTTGTCATTGATTATTTCTTCTTTATTTTCTCTACAATGTTGTGGTTTTCTTTATGGTTTGTGCACTGCTGAAATGCTGCTCAAGTTGTTGTACTAATTGTTTGAATTAACTAGACCCTAAAATTTTAGTTTCTCTGAAAATGGCATGGATCTATCATTTCTTTTTCCTTTTCAAAATTTGCTTATATTTAGTTCTGACTATTTCTTGTATATCTAGCCACTACTTCTTTCTCTTTACCCACGAGCTTGTAGTTCTCATTCTGCATGTTTTCATGTAAGGCAGTTGATTTGTTCTGTTTTCCTAAACAAAATATGTCTCCATCCCACAGGTTTGACAGCAAGAGATTTTGTAGAGATTGTAGAAGGAATGTTATTCGTGAATTTAAGGAGCTAAAGGAGCTGAAGCGCATGCGACGAGAACCTCGCTGCACTAGTTGTTTTTGTGTTGCAGATACAGCCTTCCAATATGAGGTACATTTTCTTCTTCTGTGCGATTTTTTGTTTCTAATGATCTGAGATTCAAAAGAAACAGATTGGTGGAACAAATTGTGAAAATTCACTATGGATGTGACTAGTATGACAAATTATCTTTGCTATTTTCTCAGTTGTCTGGTGATTCTGTCCAAGCTGATTGGCGCCAAGCTTTTTCTGACACTGTTGGAGCATACCATCACTTTGAATGGGCTGTTGGAACAGGAGAAGGAAAATCCGACATTCTAGAATTTGAAAATGTAGGCATGAATGGCAGTGTTCAAGTCACTGGTCTAGATCTTCGTGGTTTGACTGCATGTTTTATTACCCTGAGGGCTTGGAAACTTGATGGCCGCTGCACTGAGCTTTCTGTAAAAGCCCATGCACTGAAGGGTCAACAATGTGTGCACTGCAGGCTCATAGTAGGTGATGGTTTTATTACAATCACCAGAGGGGAAAGTATCAGGAGGTTTTTGAGCATGCTGAAGAGGCCGAGGAAGAAGAGGTAGTCCTACTTTTCCCCCCAGGATCTTTTGCATTAATTTTTTTCAAATTTCCTTAATAATTATACCTAAATTCCCACTATTTTTTGTGCACTTAATAGGATGATGATTCCATGGATAAGGACGGAAATGAACTTGATGGAGAATGCTCCCGTCCCCAAAAGCATGCGAAAAGTCCTGAACTTGCTCGAGAATTTCTGCTAGATGCTGCAACTGTTATTTTTAAAGAACAGGCATGTTTGCAGACTTGCAATATTCTTGCTTCTTTCTCACATTAATTTAAGAAATGAAAATTTCTTTGGAACTGTCATGCCATGTGATACCTGTATGTCTCAATGTGAATGTAATGTTCTTTGCATGGGGTGAATGTGTGGTAGGTTGTACAAAGGGGAATGGTTGTGTTAAAAATGTGTTGGGAAGGAGTACTTATATATATATATATATATATAAGAAAAAGTAAAGTAGCAGGATGGGGTATTATTACCGGGTCACTGGACTTTTAAGTTGATCGCCAATAGCTAGAGCAGCAATGAGATTAGGATTGAGCCTGGACCTTGTAGAATTGCTCATTATGTTAGACTTGATGAAACTAGAGTAAATTATAAATGAATATGAGGCTGTAAGTACAGTGAAACTAAGGGATAGGTTGAGATGATTTTTCAAGTTGATAAAAAAGAAGAAAAGATTTTAAAAGTAAAAGCTTGAGAGATTCTAGAACAAATGATCCTACTAGAGGTACCACATCTCTCTTTATGCTAACTGATTAGGCCTATGGGAATTTCCAAGGTCTCCAGTGTGGTTAAATGCCCCTTCCAACTTATACTAAGATTGTGGTTAACCACCTCTAGGAAGCTCCGTTGAGGCATCTAATGGAGCAATTCAAGGAATTCAAATAGTCCATGGTGATTCAATGAATACTGTTAAGACAGCATTTTTTTTTCTCAGATAACCTTTATGGTTACATATGTAACAGGAGCATTTGGCACTGCCCAAAAGTATCTTTATATATTTTTTTCAAAGTTTTAGCTGGTGTTTAAAAAGAGATTTGTGAGGAGTACCTTTGTCAACTGGCCATAAAGTACAAGTGTGCCTTTTGGCCTCATAAAACATTGAAATTTACTGGCTGTTAGAGAAATCCAATATATGAACTCATATTCCCACCTACCTGTAAGAATAGGTGAGGATGAACTAGCACCATGTTGTAGATTCTGTTGCTATGTGCATATGAAGCAATTTTGTGTCTGTATTTCAGTTTCATAGATTCTAAACTCAATGCCTTTTTCAGGTTGAAAAGGCTTTCAGAGAAGGAACTGCACGCCAAAATGCACACAGCATCTTTGTTTGTCTTGCACTAAAACTACTGGAAGATCGGGTTCATGTTGCATGCAAAGAAATTATTACATTGGAAAAGCAGGTCTTCATACTTGTGATTTTGGTTAAGATTTCATTTGAGTATCAAAATTAGGATAGCCCATCTTTCTTTTAGGAGATGCATAGCTGATAATAAAAATTTTCTCTGCAGATGAAGCTTCTTGAAGAAGAAGAAAAGGAAAAGCGAGAAGAAGAAGAGCGCAAGGAGAGAAGAAGAACAAAAGAGAGAGAGAAAAAGCTTCGAAGGAAGGAGAGGTTAAAAGGGAAAGGGATAAAGAAAGGAAGTGTCCTGAATCAAATGATATTCCCATGCTTGCTGATGTCTCAAAGGATGAAACATCACCAAGTGTTGATGAAGAACTGAATGCTACCTGCTGTGGGGATTCAATAAGTGAAACAGGTGATATATCTCTATCCAGGCCTGGATCTCCTGATGTTCAAGATCAACAGTTTTCATATGGATGTGAGACTTCTATAATGGAAAATGATTCCTATGATAGTCCTGATGGGGAGATTGCAAATTTGAAAGAAGGGACTGGCTCTTTTTCAACAGAACAATCAAAATATTCTCGCCGACGCTTGAAATTTCGGAAAGAAGTTCAACTTGATTCGTCTTTGAAGTGGCCTGATAGACGGCGATTTGCTGTTATTTCAGAAAGTGGGGCGGTGGTTAATAGATCTGAGTTAAGACATCACAGTGATAATTTTGAAACTCCTTCTAGGCCTGTTAATGGATTGAATAGGCTGTCAAGGGTTAATGGTCCAAAGTCCAATGGTCGAAATTGTGGCCTTAAGTTCAATGAGAGCTTTCATTGTCCGCACAACAGGATGAATGATAGATATGATTTCCATTCTTGCAGCTGTCACCAGAACATTGAATGTAGGGTAAAGGTTGAATCACATGTTTCATCTTTAAGAGTGGACAGAGAAAGCAAACCTGTTGGCAAGTCAGAAACAATGATGATGGATATGTCCAAACAGTTCTATCGTGGTAACAAATATACTCCAGTAGATTACATGCGTGAAGGTTGTGGAAGAATCAAAAGCAAATCCAACATGGGAAACAATTCTAAGAAAGTTTGGGAGCCCGTAGAAGCACAAAAGAAGTATTCTCAAAGCAGCTCGGACTATGATATCACCATGAGCACATCTACTAAGGTTGAGTCTGTGGAACCGGGCAGTAAACTATTCAAGTCATCTGATACTTGTTCCAGTGAAGTTACTGGAAATTCCATTGAAGTTGATCATGATGAGTATAATAACATGAAGGAATCAAGGGACCGTAGCCTTGAAACAGTTGAAGACTGCCAGAGTGGGTGCCATGTGGAAGCAAATGTTTGCTACTCAACAGAAACTGCTTATGAGGAAGTCAGTTCCTGTCCTGCAAAAAATGCCGCATTGTCTGAGACTTCCGATCCCAGCACTGGGAGCACTCTGAGTTCTGATAACTGCTCATCTTGCCTTAGTGAGGGAGATAGCAATACTGTTTCTTCAAACAATGGACATCTTGAATCGTCCTCCACTTCAGATTCAGAGGATGCCAGTCAACAATCAGAAGGAAGAGACACATCCACGTGCAGTGGAAATGGTTTCTCCAATTCTCATGAAGTGGGGCTGGACAACAAACCGAGCACAAATGGAGCTGAGGCTTTTGGAAGCAGGAAACCTTTTGAGCTTCAACCAGATGGTCTAAGACAGAACAGTTTGGGAAATCAACCATCTACAGCTGTCCAAAATCCTGATAATGGAATACCTTCTGTTAGTATGGGTTTGCAAAATCAAATTGTGTTTCCTCCTATACATAACAATAATTTACAGTTTCCAATGTTTCAAGCTCCTTCTACAATGGGCTACTACCATCAAACTCCAGTTTCTTGGCCGGCAGCTCCAGCCAATGGATTGATGCCCTTTCCCCAGCCTAACCACTATTTATATGCCAGTCCTCTTGGCTATGGTTTAAATGGAAACTCACGCTTTTGTATGCAGTATGGTCCAGTGCAGCATTTGGCAACTCCTGTGTTTAATCCTGGTCCAGTTCCAGTTTATCAGCCGGTTGCCAAAGAATATGGCTTGAACTCAGAGGTTCAAACAGAGACACGTATGATGCAGGAAACTTCAACTGAAGCCAATAAGGAGAGGATGGTTCCACTGAGATCACGTTCAACAGAAGCACCCCCAAGTGGGGAAGGTGGGAAAGTTGATAATTCTGCCAAATTGCACAACGGAGATAGTGGATTTTCCCTGTTCCATTTTGGTGGACCTGTCGCTCTTTCAACAGGATGTAAGTCGGATCCTGTGCCTTCTAAAGATGGCATTGTTGGAGATTTTTCTTCAAAAGTCTCTGCGGATCAGATTGAAAACGATCCAGCTTGCAATAAGAAAGAGACTGCCATGGAAGAGTATAACTTGTTTGCAGCAAGTAATGGCATAAGGTTTTCAATCTTCTAATATATTATTAAGAAGTTGCGAGGTGGTTGTTTGGGACCCTGTCTTCTTATTTCGTATTGGAAGTTTGACTACCATGTAAGCCAGTGGACAATAATTTTCCTCGGAAAAATTCCAATTTTAGCTATAGTTTTGTCAGTTGATTGATATCCAATTTGGCTCTTTTTTTTTTTTTTTTTTTTCCTCTTTTCCTTGTTAATTTAGAGAGAAAAAGTTGGGAGAGTGGTATAATGTTTGAGGTTTTATTAATGAAGCATTTATTGGTATGAGATTTTTTATTTTTATTTATTTTTTTATTTTAGAACTGAAATCATTTGATTTTTTTGAACTCTTTTCACTTCTATAAAGTTTACTCATTGAAATTTGGCAATGTTGTTTACCACAATTGGGTGGATTGACGTATGGAGGCTGAGCATTGATTTCTTTTCTGAACTTCTCATGATGCAATTTAATTAGTGTCCTACTAACTAGTTGCTTTGCGGTACATTATGGGAAAATTTTATAATACACAACGAGTAACTAGTGGCATGTACGATAGTTACTTTTTATATCTACTTTAAGGAGAGAGATAGACACATAAAAAAGAGAGAAATTACATCTATATCTATCAAAAGTGATAAGAAGATTTCCATGTCCGCTCAAATTTTTTTATTTTCTCTCTCTATTTTTCTCTCTCTTTTTGTGTGTCTATCTCTCTCCTTAAAGTGGACTCGATAAGTAACTACTGTACATGCCACTAGTTACTCCTCGTGTATTATAAAATTCCTCTACATTATGTGTCGGACATAATAAAATTATTTCAATTAAAATTTTATATTTAATTAACTTTTTTAATTGAAAAATCATGATTCGTTTTTCTTCATGTATTAATTTTTAAATAAAAATTTGTAATAATTTAAATTAAAGTATCAATTTAAAAATTAAAAAATATTTTTTAAAAATATTTTTCATAAGATTGTATCCAAAAAATAAAGTTATAATTAATGTATATATAAAAATTAACAAATAAAAACATAACATTTATTTTTATTTAATATGATGAGGAGATTATTTTTTGAAAGTATATCCATTTAATTTACAAAATAGTCAATAATATTAGCATAAAAAACTATATTTGAATCATTTGGTGATTTAAAAAAAATTATTTCAATCATTTTATTCTTTTAAAAATAGTTTTATAATATTTAAAAATAATAACAAATAGTTGATGCTATATATAAAGATGCATAGTTAATTTTCAATAAAACCGATGAGTTAATATTCTTTTATAAATCGTGACTATATTTATTGGGTTGAGAGTGTGTAGTATATACATATAAGTTTGAGATAAATTATCCGAAACATATCATATATATTTCATCATTGCCGATTGTATGAGAACAAAATAATAATAATAATAATAATAATAAATAAATAAAGAAACAATTGTTGGATCTCTCATAATTTTTTTTCTTTTCGAAAATCCATTAAAAAAAAAAACACAAGCTAGGAAGCGGGGCATGCTTGGGCTTGGTTCTAAGGCCTCCCGAACTATAAGTCTTGAAATTGAGTCCCGAAACTTTTTTATTGGTTCTGAAGTCCATAAACTTTGTAAGTTCTAAAATTAAGTTTACCTATTTTTTTTTTCATTAGAAATAATGGAGAATGTGCACATGGCGAGACTTAATCTAACAAAAGATGTTGACAATTTAATATTTTTAGTTGATTAAACCCTAGCCCACCCTAACCCAATGTAACTAAAGATTAATTAAAGCTAAAAGGGTTAATTAATAGTGCTTTTTTACATTTAGCCAAAACTAATTCATCCACCCACATTCACCCACCCATGTACAAACTGTTCTCTCTCAAATATCGCGATATGCGAAGTGTCATTCGGTTTCTTTAGCCATTTTTCATCCTTCATCTAGTAATCTATCACGTTCTCTTTATCTTCATCTAATAACTCTTTCATCCTCTTTTACATCTCTCTTAATTCGTTGTCTTCTTGTTGATCTCTCACCATCGATTGATATCAACGAAATCAAGAGTTTAACTTCTAAGGTTAGTGACATGTTTAATTATAAAATTGATTTTACATTTAGGTTGTGGGGTTCTTTTGGTTGTTTGAAAATTTGTTTCAAAAACTTAATTTTTTCTCTATTCTTATGTTAGGTAATGAGGTTCATTTAGGGTATGGGTCACTATTAATTTGGAAAGATTTTTCAAAAAAGTAATGTTTTGGATTGTTCTATGTTATGTTATGGGGTTTATTTGGGGTTTGGGTCAATCATGACGAGTTATCCGGGTTATGGAGTTTATATGGGGTAGTTAATTTTTAGCTTTTTTATATTAAATTATAAGTTAGTATTGCATTAAGGGTATTTAAATATTGATTAGGGTTTTTAATATTTGAGGTTTGTTATACCTTATGAATAATAATCTTTTATGTCTTATCATGTATATGAAGTTTGGTTGACTTGAGGATTTATTATGGAGGTACTTGTATTTATGTCCCCGTTATTAGGTATATAAATAATGAAATGGTGGAGTAATCGATAGACTCGACTACCTATCTCTTGTTAGTTTGAAACCGTGGTTGAAGGATAAAGGTTATCACAATGTGATTGGGTTTCTATACAAGCTTGGACATTAGGTCTTGGAGAATGGAGTTAAGGTTATGATGATGAGAACTACTTGATGGAGATTATAGGCGACATGGAGAAATTCGGGGAGGACATTTTAGATTTTTATGTTGACCATGCTATAGATATATATGTGCTTAATGTTGATTTTTAGTCTAGTAGAAATCATGATAAATTTACTATAACTTCGATGGTGTAGTTGAATATGAATTTAGTGCAACAGAATATGAATTTGGTGCAACTGAAGATAATGAGAAGCATTTGAGTGATTTTGAAGATAGTGATGATGATGAGGATGAAAATGAAGATATCTTTGAGAATTTAAGGGAGAGAGGACAAGCATAATATGTTAGTGTAGATGCAACAATAAAAAAATGATGTCGAGGGAGAAGGGAAAGTTACATGCCGCAAAAATTTTTGAAAGGTGTGGTATAGAAGAAGACAATCTAAATTCTAATTATAGAGACAATGATGAATAACAAAGTGTTGATTCATCTAATGAGAAAGATGGTAAGAGAAATAAAAAGAAGAAAAGATATATGGAATTCGATGAGAACAATGATTTCAAAGGCAAGATTGAATTGAAAGCGGGAATGATATTTAACAGTTATAAAGTGTTTAGGATGACATTGAAATCATACTCATTTTATATTGGATATGACTTCAAACATGTGAAGAATGACAAGGATAAGATCACCATATACATAAATAATTATGGTTGAAAAGTCCATTCATCACTTGCAGTGATGGCAAATCATAGCGATTAAAATAGTTTTTGACAAACATAATCGTGGTACAACCTTCAAGAGCAAAAATATAACTCGTTGAATGGATATCAAAGCAATAAACTCATGACATTAGGGATGCACAATACATAAAGCCTACTTGTTTTGAGAAACATGATCTTGAGAGAACACAAGTATACCGTTGCTATTGATTTATGCTATAGGGCATTGGGAGCTGGAAGATAAATTGTTAAAGGAAAAGACATCGAACAATATATTTGCTACGACATTATGTTGAAGTAATCGAAAAGTTTAATTCGGAAACACAATGAAGATGGATGCTCGTAATGGAATATTTGAGAGATTTTATGTATGTCTTAATACTTGTAAAGAAGATTTCAAGGTTGGTTGTAGGCTAATATTTGGCATTGATGTTTATCATTTGAAAGAAGTTTTTAAAAGGCAATTGTAGGGAAAAATGCTAATGAAAACACTTTTCCTATAGCTTAGGCCTTTGTTATGTCCGAAACAAGCAATGATTGGTGGTGATTTTTTGAATTGTTATTGGATAACACTAGTCGAGTAAAAGAGAATGGTTGGTTATTCTTCTCTAATAGAATGAAGGTTCGTTTTGTATTTTGTATATTTATTTATTTTTTTGATAATGAATGGTTTTGTTTCTAACTAATATCTATATTATGCTTTTAAGTGCTTGTTTGATAATCGGGAATAGAGTTATATGAATGAGAATGAAAGTTTTATTCTCACGTTATAGCGGGTTGGTTAAAAGGAATGAAGTGAGAGTGGGAACGAGAATGAAAATTTACACACAACTTCATTCTCATATAAGATGTGGAAATAAAAATAAGGAATGAGAATGAAATATATTTTTTTCAAAATAATATATTTTATTTATTTATTGTTTATTAACTACTTTTACCACTACAACCACCACCACCACTATAACCACCATTGTCACACAACCACCATAAGCACCACCACCACTCTCACCATCACCTTTATTATTTTTACAACCATTATAGTTTGATAAAATTATTTTTTTAATCATTATTTTTTTTGTATAAAAAATTAGATATTAAAAGGTTTAAATTGCATTCCGATTCTTTATTTGTATTTCAAATACGGTGTGGGAATACAAATGTCATTTCGATTCCTTAATTTTTATTTCGATTCCTACATTCTCATTCCCATTACTCTATTCCCGATTATCAAACAACACCTTATATTATAGGGTTAATCGAGATCTTTGAGAATAAGTTAAGAGGGGTGGACCACAAATTTTGTGTTAGACACCTCTACACTAACTTTAAGAAATATCATGGGTATAGCAAAACATTGAAGGATCATCTTTGGAATGCTACTAAAGCTTATATTGTTAGGAAGTTTAAGCATCACATGAAAGAAATTAAAGATTTACATGTTGCGAGTATATGAATGATCGATGAAGATATCTATTAAGACATGGTGTAGGCATGCATTCGGTGAAGAACCAAAGTGCGACTTATTGCTGAACAATATGGCATAAACTTTCAACTCTTACATACTTGAAGCTAGAGATAAGCTAATTATTACCATGCTTAAAAGTATAAGGAGAATGCTAACGAGGAGGTTTTATTAAAAAATGAAGGGTATACTTGCTTGCAAGGAGCATATTTGTCCAAGGATCTTGAAGAAACTTGAGAAACCGAAGCGAGTATGCAATAAGCTACATTGTGATCCCTAATGCAAATAGAGGTCATTCATTATGAAGAGAATCCAACAATATGTGACCTTGAGAGGAAAACTTGCATGTGTAAGAAATGGTAGATGTCGGCATATCTAGCCATCATGCAATTATCGCATTTTATAAGAAAGAATTATAACCTAAGGACTACATGCATGATTAGTACAAAAAAGAAACATTCCTCAAAGCCTATGAAGTGTATATAGAACTTGTTTTAAGATCGGATGATTGGCTTCTTATCTCCTATGATCTTATGCGATCACTTATCATTAATAAATAAACAGGTAGGCCAAAGATGGTAAGAAGAAAAAAGAGTTTGAACCCCAACCTCCAAATCCCTACAAGATTAATAAAGAAGAAGTGATAATGATATGTAGTAATTGTAAAAAAAAAAAGTATAATGTGAAGGGATGCTCCTTAACCAAGGGTTGTCAATGCAAATGCAAAGCTAAAACAAAGGAAATTTAAAAAGGCTACAAATGTTGAGACATCAAGAATAGCGGGATCATCAAATGAGGATACATTGCAGCTACTAAAAGATAGCGGGATCATCAAATGGGGATACATTGCAGCCATCAACATGGGTGAAACTCAATGCAATATAGTCACATGCATACCTCAACAAATTAAGTAAAGAAAGAGAAAGGGAAAAGAACCCGTAACTAACTAAGCTCCATCTAAGAAAAAATTAAGTTGTTATACAAATTTCAATATGGTTTAATTATTATAGGATGAACTAAATTAATTAATTACATTTTTAAATAGGTTATTGGATCACCTCGAGGTTTCATGGCATCTTCTATGGTAAGTTATTACGGAGGGACCATCATAAGGACCATAATAGTTAAGTCAAATTAGGTTTAAAAGCCACGACATACTTTTGATGATGATATATAGTTTTGGTTGATGACATTTTGTATTTATCTTTGATTAGGTTGCTTGGATAGATAGATTATGATGGTAATTTGTGTTTACCATTGATTTAGGTCGCTGGATAGATAGATGATGATAATAATTTATATTTATCCTTGATTAGGCTACTTGGATAGATAAATGATGATGGTAGTTTTTTGTTTTGTCCAAATATTGGTGGATATAACAATTTAGTTAGTATGCTTTGATTAGGATGATCTGTTAGATCGATATATGATGAGGTAGCATTAATCTCCTTGTAATGAATGAAAATTCAAGCTATATATTTTGATTATATTTAGAACAAGTTTTGTTTTACTCAGCAAACATTTCATTATTGACATTTTGCTTACATTTTTGATCACTTGTTGCATGCATAACATAAAACTCTTTGTCTCTTATCCCGAAACCAAACATTTAAAACATATAATAAAAACTTAGTAAAATAATAAGGTCACCAACACAGTCTTAATAAATCTCATTCTAAAAGCTATATTGCCTTTCAAACTTAAGGTAGCAGAACCAGCTCTACTCATATCCTCTCTCGGCTTGTTTACTTCTATCTTCAAACCATCATTTCTTCTAAAATCCAAATTGAAATGAGTGCACCAACCAATGAACTCACAATCGTGGGAAAAGTAATACAAACTATATTGGTTGGATTTTGACTCGAATATCTTTACAATCGCTTTTCTTCCAAAACATGTCTTGTTCATATATATTGAATAGTCGTCATAATCATCTTGTTATTGAGATTGACTTCTAGATGATTGGATTGAGTTGGATGATATTTTATCAAACATGTTGAGTGTAGTGCAATTTTGTGTGTTGTTTCATATGTTTTTTTTCCTTTCACATTGGTATCTCAACAAATAGGTTGTATGGGTTGTTTTGTTATGGTATATCCGTTTATTTTGGTTCCAATCAATGATCGGTTTAGGAGGGAAAAAGGAGGACATAGGTTGGAGGGGAAAAAAGAAACCAAAAACATGTTTTGGCGTTATTTTTGGTTGTTGGGGTGGAAAAGAGTAGAAAAGATTTTGGTGCTTTTTTTTCCTTAATTAATCTTTAGTTATAATGGTTTAGGGTGGATTAGGTTGGGTTAAGGTTTAATCGGATAAAAAAATTAAATTGCCGGCATCCTCTCGTCGGATTAAGTCTACAACATATGTTTCCACCGTCACATACACATTTTCCGTTATCTCTAATGAAAAAAAATTGAGTGGATTTAATTTCAAAACTTAAAAATTTTATAGACCTTTAGAATCAATAAAAAAGTTTCGGGACTCAATTTCAAATGACTTATAGTTCGGAAAGTCCTAGACCCTTTTAGCTTTTTTTTTTTTTAAAAAAAACAATCCATTCACGATGAAGGATGAAACTAAGAGAAATGAAAAAATAATAATGGACTATTTTAAAAATATAATTGAAGAGGTCATGCTATAGATAATGAAAATCTATGGTAGAATTAAGCGTGAGTGAATAGTCCATAAAAATGTTGAGCTACGAAAACGAATAGTGATTTATCATTTTGCTTCGGTGTTTTAATTAATAACATGGAATCCATTTGCATGTTGAAACACTTGAAGTTGTTAATCATATCAAGTCTTGATGACTTTGAGCCCAGTTAAGGGCTTGAGGCTACCTTCTAAAATTCAATTCCAGCTTCAACATAATTTTATGACCAGACTAATCTTGATGCTGGTATCATTCCACTAACCTAGAGGGTAATCAATAAAAGCAAAATTGTGCTTATCCAATAGTGGCAAGCCCAAAAGGTGGATAAAGAGGGAGATTAAGAAAACTCAACCCATATAGTTAACTATAAGTTACTAGGTTTCCATACAAAACTCGAATGTAGTGTTAACGAGCATGGAGTCCTTGCGGACTTCAAAAAAATTAGAACAAATTCTCCCGGGACCAAGGCAAAATGCTAAAATTATTAAGTAGAGCGAGTTTTTGAATTTTATGACTAGGTTTAATTCACGGTATACTTGTATCATTGAGCTCTTAGTCAAAAAATATTGTATTTAAGGTTGTGTTTGTTTTAAAAAAAATAAGTTTCGGGAATTTGTTTTCTCTATTTTCTCTCATTTTTTGATATTTATTTCGCGTTTAGGAAAAAATTCAATAGAATTTGATTTCCAGATCAACAAAATTTGATAGACTATTTTTGAGAAAGTGTTTTCCGAGTTCAAAAAGAAGAAAACACACATTCTCTCTCTCTCTCTCTCTCTCACGATTTGTCTCGCTCTCATGTCACTCATCTCTCTCTCGATATATTTTAACAATTTTTCTCTATCTTCTTTTTTATTTAAAATATATCAAATTAATTTTTTATTATTTCTTATCAATTATTATTAATTATTTAATTATTTATCTCTATTTCTACTAATATTTGATTTTTCAATTTATGAATACATGAAATATTCTTAAAAACCATTTTTACATCTTAAAACTATTTTTATAATAAATATTTCAATAATTTATCTCTTATTTTTTTTCATTATTCCAAACACCACTTAAACTATATTTAAATGACTGAAAATGATTATTACAAGATCGCAATCATTTGTAAAACATTTAAAATTAATTAATTCATAATTAAATACATTATTTTTTCAACATTATTTATTTGCAATTAAATCAATAATTTGTGACTAATTTTAATCGGTTTTAAAATTTTATTTGTAATCGTAGTCAATAATTAGTTACAAATTATTTTAACTTTAATCTTTTGAAACCAAATGAATAATTATTTACAAATAATAATTAATAATTTGTAAAATTATTTTTAGACTAAGTTATCAATTCAATTTCTCAAAAAAAAAAAAAAAAAAAAAAAAATCTTAATTGGGTTACCAAATTAACAATGCTAGGATTACTTAATTTTTTTTTTTAACTAAATGTGAATATTAACTTGATTTTATCCAAAACGAGTTTTGATGAATTGGTTTTATGATTAAAAATGTATATTTTATTTTTTAATTTTTTGAATTTAAATCTTAGAATAAGTATTTATACAAATTTATTAAAATTTTCTAAATACATCTTATATTGTGAAATTATAAATATATTTTGTTAAAGTTTCCTCAAAACTCGTTAATATAACAATCACATACTTGTTTTTGTATTTCAATTTTCTCGTATCAAATAAATGTTGGAATATATTTTTCAACAATTTTTTCATATAATTGCTAAACGTTTAAAAAATATTTTTTTGAAAAACAACTTTCTAAAAAATAGTTTCTCTAGAATTTTTATTTTATTTTATCTGAAGTTGTTTTCCCTCGAACAAATGAAACCTAAAGACATCCGCAAAACAAACAGTGCTGTAGGACTATCAAGTGAAGCACCCATAAAGGCTTTGGAATCCAAATACCTTAAAAAAAGCCTAGAAAGGCAACTCCACACGAAGTAAAGAAAATGTTCCGAAAATCTGATCTCAGTTTCTTGCATCAGAAAATCGTAAAACAGCAAGATAAAATCCTGGATCGTCCACATATTCAACCATTTCAAAAGAATGGTCAGCTGCAGTTTTCTGCAAGGCCATTTTATCAGGCAAGTCTGAAGTTACCACGTCTTGATATTGTTTCCTTTGCTGCTCCAAAACTTCCCTTCCCTGGGGATGGCTAATAACCAATCTTGCACCTATACAACGAATAGTTGGAAGCCAGAACATCAAAAGGGGATTTCAAATCTATGATTGGTGTTGTTTTTAACGATCAAACAATTATAATGCTTCAAACAACACTATCTCATCCATGAAGACACAAGATATAAAACCTTTTGATTTCTAAGTGAAGGAACTGAAAATCAAAATCGCAACTTCAAGTCATATGTTACAGAGGAACATAAGAATTTTCTTAGAGAGTTCACCTTGGGTCCAACATTCAGTCAAGTCAAAAGAGGAATGGATGAAAAGATAAATTATGTAGCCTTTATAATTACCTGGTGAGCAACGTTTAGCAAGTGTCCCGAAAACCTCATCCAGTTCAAAGGGTAAAGCTGGCAGAAAGTAAAGGAACACAACATCCAAAGGTGCCCACTTTTCTGGAACATGAATAAGCTCGCCTTGCCAACATTTAACCTTGTCGTACTTTTCTTTAACACAAACTAACAGAAAAAGTGAGTCATGGACAATAAGCAAAAGACCGCAGGGCGATGTATCAACCAACCTATCCACAAATCCTTCTGAACCAATGGAAACTAAAACCCTTGAAGTATCCTCAATCTCTCCTGCAGAAATAATCCGGCCAATGTTTTGGTCATGTTCTTTAGAATTTGACTCCTCTGCATCAAGAAATGACCAATCCTTTTCCATCAAATCTTCAAAGTTGATTACAGATACAGGTCCCTCATCTGAGGGGACTGCAGCAGCAATTAATGGTTGATGACTGTGAAAGGAAAATTTCGAATTGGGTTGAAATGAATGGGGAAAAGAAGAGTTTTGGCAAGCATAACGATTGCCCCTGGTGTTGGAAATGCATAGAGGCTGTAATTGATGACGGTGAGAGAAGTGGGGGAAAGGTAGTTGAAGGGCAGGAAAGTAAGGTAATAAGATAGAATTCATTGAAGAGATCTATTAAACTCCTTGATGGAAATAATTCAGTTCAAGGTGAACAATCCAGTGGTCCGATGATAGTTGAAACTTGAAAACGATAAATGAAGCAAATTTACCACTGAATTCTCAAGTAACTATTAACCTATTATCTTTCCATGTCCATTTATCCACGTAGGTTATCCATGTCGTCGTGTTCTATGCAATGTCAAAAGAAAGCACCAATATCAACATACACTGCAGATGCACAAGATCAAAGTCAGATCAAGTAATAAATTCCCAGCCCTTTCAGATAATTTTACTACTAACGTAAGTAACATTTTACTATCAAACCAATGTCAATTAACCAGTCTGTTTGTGTGCCTTAAAGTTCTATACCCCCATCATTGAAATGAAAAACATTGAAACTATAGTCTCTTATTCTAACTTAAGTGTTTCCCTTCCATGCAGCAAATATGCAAAACCTTCGCACCCGAAGTACGCATAGTACAATTTTTAACAGGAGTCAGAACTGACACTAGAACCTAAAGCCCAATCCAATGCAAAAATTCATGTTCCCACAAATTCACAGCAAGAAGTTTTAATTCTACACCAACAAGATAAATTAGTAATCTTAACTGGGATTTTTAAAATTTTTATTGCTGTTAGATACTTTGAAAGATAGATGAAGTCAAGAAAGGGAAACAAAAACAACCGTGTAACTCTGATTTTCCATTAACTAAGTAAAGATTTCCAATTTCCATTAAAGGCCCATTACAATACCATCTACAAGACTCAAAATTTCATGTTTCTTTTTATCCTTTCATCAACTTCTAAGCAAACAAACAGAAAGTTGAACTTTAGAGCGAAACGACAAAAGAAAACAGCTACTGCTACGTAAAAAGTCACCTAACCATACAAAACTAAACAAGCTTAGGTGATTATTTAGAGCAATTTTGATGTCAAAATAAGCAAGAGAAGAAACCAGTAAATGATAAAAAGAGTGATAGAATAGAAGCTAACCTCGTCTGTCTTCTGGGCGCAAACCATAATGAACTGAACTGGACAGACCTCTGCGGTTTTGCCGCTGGGTAAATAGAAAGGTGATTAAACGTTGGTGATATTTTGGGCCTGGCCCATTCATTTCATACAGTGGTCCGAGTCTTTCTCGGAACCTACAAGTCGTTCCTCTCATTTTCCCTGCTAGATGGATGACATGTCAGCCGGAGACCATGTATTCTGAATTGCACATATTAGTTAATTAGTAGTATTGATTGATAATTTCACATGAGATTGCAATTAGCAATTTTATCTTTTTAATTCCTCCATTATTTCTAAATAATAACATGAAAAACAAACTCACTTACCAATTCAATTAATTAAAAATATTTTTTTTTCAAGCAAGATATACATAAACTCTTAATATTTAAACAACAAATTGAAATTGTAAATAAAATAAATCATATTCATCTAGACTTTATTTAATAATTCATGCGTTTTTTACATACGATTCAATGCTTTTTGAAATTGATTAATAAAAAAAATACTTAAATGAAAATAATATTAAAAATTGAAATCCAAATCAAATTAATATTCAGAGAACTTTACAAGGAATTAGGCTTTGTGAAATAAAGAAAGGATTGTACTTGGAAATTAGCACCCAAAAATACTCAACTTCACACGCCACCAAACACACCCTTAACCCTTTCCTTTTCTAAGTAAATCACACCCAAGACGAATCAAACTCCGTCAACTACATACGAAGCTGTCCCAGGAAAGCAATCGCATATCACATTCTCCCCCTTCCTTCAATCTCCAATGGCTACCCCACAATTCCTCTCCCAATCCAAATACTCAGACAGCCTAACAGTTGTTGGAATCTCAATCTGCACAGCAATTATCTGCGAAACAATTTCCTGGATCCTTATTTATCGAACAACCTCTTACAAATCTCTCAAATCCTCAATCGACAAAGCTTCTAAAAAGCTCGAAACCATGAAAACGGATACCGCTAAAATGACCACCAAGAAATCCAAAACCAAGAAAATCGACCGTGTCGAAACTTCCTTAAAAGAATCAAGCCGTGACTTGTCTCTTTTCAAATTCAAATCTGGGGCTGTTGTTGCTTTGGTTTTAATTGTTGTTTTTGGGCTTTTGAATTCGCTTTTCGAAGGCAAAACTGTCGCTAAATTGCCCTTTAAACCTATCACTTTAGTTACGAAGATGAGCCATAGAGGGTTACCAGGGACTGATTTTACGGATTGTTCGATGGCGTTCTTGTATTTCTTGTGTTCGATTAGTATTCGTACGAATTTGCAGAAGTTTCTTGGGTTTTCCCCTCCTCGTGGTTCTGCTCCTGGTGCTGGTTTTCTCCCCATTCCCGATTCCAAGACGAATTGATTCATCCATCATCGGGTTTGTTTGTTTGTTTTTTTTTTTTTTGCTTAATTTGAGGGAATTTTTTTGGAGGGGTTTTTTAGGGTTGTTTAGAGTTTATATTATGATTTGTATGACTGTAATGAGAAGAGATTGTCTGTTGTTGGATAATAATTTGGTAATGGGTTTTTATAACTTGACTGAAATTAAGATATATTGCTGTTTAATTTTTGGTTGGTTTGAATGAATTATTGATTATTTGTTAAATAAATTAGATTTATCTGTTTATTTATATTGATTACGTAATGTGTTAATTGTTGATGGAAATTGTTTTATTAGCTTAATTTATGGGTTGTTTTTAAAGATTTTTTATTGTCATGGTTGTAATGTGTGAGATAGTAAGATTGTAATTCGTATAGCTAAACTTTATTTAATAATTAGACTTTTAATTCATGTGGCAAATTAGCGTAGAAAGTTACCCTCTTATATATATAGTAAATCTAGTGGCTTTTATTATCTGATAAAATATCTAAGTTGATTTTTGTAGGGCTTGGATGTACTGTCTATCAATTTGCAGTTTATTAAGCAGAGAGTTGTTAAAAGTTTGGAAAATACTGAAAAAAGTGATATATAGATCTTGATTTAACATTCAGAATTGAATAGGTATATATATTGATTAAGGTCCAAGGACAGAGATCTTGTGTGTCAAAACCAGTGTTGATTATTGATTACTCGAAATTTCAAATTTTAGTGGTTTGGAAGGAGCTTCACTTTACCTTTAGTTCTTGTGGGATTTAACTTGGAGATGAGGTTCAAATCTGAAGTTTGATTTTACTGATTTATGAAACTTGTGTATTTCAAAATACATTACTCTTCCTTGGTTTCAAGGTTCAGAGAGACTGTAATGGCTGAAAAAGTATCTTTGGTATCTGTACGATTAGTTGAAGTTTGATAGCATAATGGTAACATTCATTAAGGGATATATAGTCAGGAAAGTTGGGTTGAGGAATAAAAGGCTTGATTCTTGAATCAATTTATTTTTAAATGTGTTCATAAACATCACCATTTTAATTCGAATGTGTTTTTGAACACTTTCGCTACGCTGCATTTGCAGATTTCATGTTGCTCGCTTCTCTTTGCAGGAGGTGCATCTTTTAAATTTGTCAATTTGACAGCAAACGTGTTGGTGTGTTTTATTTTTGGTTCTAGATGCTTAAATTCCTTCTTTTTTTTTTTTTTTTTTTTGAAAAAAAACTTCTCCCATCCCTTTTAATCTTTATTCAAAAATGATTATTGCATGTCCAGGAGAAAATTTGCGCCAGGCTTTACTCCAGGATGTTCTGCTTATTAGTGGCATTCAGATACTTTTCTTAAGATCCACTGTATTGATTACTCTAGGATTTTCCAGTTTTGAAGGGTACTGAATGCTAAATAATCTTCTGAATTCAGGACAGAGTTGTGCTCTATTTAGGACCGTCCAAATCATTTTGTAATGCGCTGAATTGGTTCAGTCTACCATTGCAGGAAGTGATACATGAGAAGGTCTTTCCCTTTCATATTAGCAAATTGTGGTTAGTTGTAGAATGCTATGGCCAAAGAAGTCATTTGATTTATGCATGTTTGCCTGCAATTGATCTGGAGATCAGTGCATTTGTCCAAAAGAACCAATTTCAAGCTACCGGATGCTTAAGTCTGACCTGTGCTGTTAAGTGACGGCGAAAAGGTTTTTGGCTACAGACCAGATATTTTCAGCCTTGAGTGTGGAGCTTTGACTTTGGAGCATAACGAGTGATCTTCTTTCTTTGCATAAGCAGCAAGTAGTGCTTCGAAGCTCAACCTAGTAGAGCCGTCAGTGATGGGAAATTTTCAACTAAGGATTACTAGCGGATTTGCAGCTTTTGCATGTCTGAAAATGCGTGTACTCATCTTGTTTTCACCAAGGAACTGAAATGCAAACCACTCAGGCTGTCATGGGGAGGCACCATCCCGATTCAAGAACTGTTTCTTCTGCCGATATACGTCTTATCATCTTCCATTCTTCCTCGAGTCTTGACGTCGTATATGGACTTCTACATATATATATATATATAGGCCTAGTTGCTTACTGGCTTCAGCCCACATTTGTACCCAATTAAAAGATCATTGGCACCTTGATTCCATTGCCACCCCGACCACTAACCAGACCAAGCGGCAGAGGATCACAAAAACAAACGGAAGAAATTAAAGAGAGCAACTAGATGAGATAGGTTTGGCGGAAAAAACAAGCTCAATGAGCAAGTGGAATAATCAAATATCGGCCCATTTAGGGCCCAGAGGTCTAGGGCAATCAACTGTAGCAGCAGCATAATTTTCAGATCGAGTAAATTCAGTTGAAGGTCTTACTTTTCCGTCCAGAAACGACTAGCTAGTATGACATCATAAGGCAATTCTGATTCTCCTCTATCCCACCCTTCCGATACGATACAAAACCAAATTAAGTAGTCTGTTCGAAGAGCACTCATGTTAGTTTGGATGGTTATATTTAATAGCAGAAAAATAATTGTTAGTAATTACACATAAAACTCCAAGCAAGTACATGCATGGCTTAAAAGTTAAGCTAACTTTTTCAGTACAGTCCAATGAAGTTGTATAGACTTCTTGCATGTTTAAACATGGTCAGAAGCAGAGATAGTGCCCTTTTTTTTTTTTTTTTTAGGATTGCACTAACCCTTCCAGAATACTGTACACTTGGTTGAGTAAAAGCAAACGTGGGCAGCCATGCATGAAGAGTGAGACTTTCTCAACTGTCAAGTGTCGTTAGTTATCTCTCCTACCTGGCTTGGCTAGAGGTTAATGAATCAATTAATAAGGGCTCACAAATGTATTAATGAAACTGATTCTCTGCCGTCTAGGTTAACTTTTTCTTCTTTCGGTTTTGAGGTGACATGCATGGGTAATTTGTTTGTTTTTTCTTTTTTGGAGACGGTATGTTAATTGGATTTGGACTATATATATGTATATAATTATGGGATAATTAATAGCGTTCTTTAAATTTCTATATATTTTCATCTTTTCATCAAAAGTTCAAATCTAATTAGACCTCTTTGAGGGACTTTGATTTTTGAAAACTCTTTTAAAAAGATTTATAAGTGAGGGAAAATATTAGAAAAAAAGAAAAGAAAAGAAAAGAAGTACTTCTAGGTAATTAAATCTGGGGAAAAAGCAACCTACAAGGTTAGTATACAAGTAATAAAGACCACGGTTTGTAACTATGAAGGTTGGTGGGGGTGGCCGGGGGAGGAAGAAAAGGGAGAGAAACATTAATTTGTGTTGCTTTTGATGTATTCATTAAGTGGATCCGGTGAGAAATCAAACAAAAAAACAAACAGAACTGTATGTATGCAGGTTCTATCTATCTCTCTACTAAAACTCGAAAATCAAGGATTCACTTAACTCTAGATTTTCCTTATGGAAATATATGGTAAACGAGTAAATTAACTTAATTGGTTACTCTCCTTTACTTCAAGTGAATTAAGTCCAAGGAGCATTTAAGCCATATATAGGAAAAAAATCCCACGAGCAACTACACAACCCAACAGCATTCCAATATTCACCAAAATAAATATGAAAAAGTACTTAGTAGTTCCAATACACAAGTGTATGTATATATATATTATTTGAGTATTGCAATAATTTTTTTTTTTGGAGAAAAATATACCAAATTTGAGATTTATTTGTTTATAAACGTAAAATTTACCTATCAAATTTGTCCAACAAAAGAAAGAAATTAAGGAATGTTAAATTGAAGTAATTTGGAATTCTATTTGCTTGATATATTTTTTTTTAAAAAATAAAAGTCAATCAATATATTAAGAAAGATAGCCATCAAGAGAGTGGCTTAAAGATTGGTTTAGAGTTTAAAAAAAAAAAAAAAACATAAAGAACACATCATGTCAAAAAAAAAACTAAATTAAACTTAACCGATACAACAATTAAAGCTGAATCGAGATGATAGATTCTTGATAAATTTGTTTATTTTTTTAATTCCATTAGAGCTACACAATAGATCAGTTCTACAATAGATAAAATTACCATCAATATATCTAACCTAATGTGTAACTCTATGAAAAATCAATGAGAGGACACCATCTCAATCAAGAATGGTGCCATTAAAGATTCGATCATTCTCGCACTAACTAGATAGATCAAAGACTAGAATAGAGAACAAGAAGTCAAATTTTCTTCTACGTGCGCCTTTAAACATGAATACTCCATTGTTGAAAAAAGATCATCCACAAAACTTAGGATAATCCAAGAATAACCTTACCAACATAAGATTTTAGACCATATCCGTCGAGTCTCACGCCAACGAAGAAAGAGGTGAGATATAGTCTCCTCGGTGTCATTACGTAAAAGGCGAAGCTATCCGAAAGCTCAACTAATCCAATGCGATGAAGAAAGTCTCTTGTTTGCAATTTACCGAGGGCTACTAACTAGGCGAAAGCTTTTGTTTTTGGAGGAGCTAAGGCTTTTCAAACATAAGAAGTTGTAAGAGACTCACCGTAAAGCAAAATGGAATCTAGGATTATAGAACAAGATTTGAAAGTCTCTTGTTTGATATATCCTTTAAACCACGTATGATACTAATATGAAAAATATTTTAAGCTAGAGATATATTTGGTATAGTATAGTTGTAACTTATCGGTCAATTTATCGTATCGAGCGTGACGATATATTTTCACACATGTATATCGTGTACCGAAATGTAAGATCGCACGATCTTGCCAATCGTGATTATATAGAATTTTTCTTTCAAATATTCAAACATCATAATTAATGAGGTGACTTCTTATTGTACAAAATCATCATCAATATTCCATATCAATGTTTAATTAATTTATTTATATAGTCACTTTACTTTTCCAAAAACTTATATTGTGGTTAATATCTATCAAAGAACTATTTCAATTAAAAATTTAAATTGTTATGTGAGACTTCATAAATGATATTATATTACTTTCCAATACAATTTCTCAAGTGAAAAGTTTTTGATTTTAAAACTTGAATTTGCATAGGTTCATCATCACCTTGTGCTTAATTATTTAATTAGAAGAAAAAATAAAATAGTGAGATTTGAATTCATAACCGTTTAGCGAGTAAAACTTTGATACGATGTCGAAAAACTATTACAATCTAAAATCTTAATTTAGATTCGACTTTAAGAATAATTTTATACTACTCTTTACCAATATCCTATGATACATGACCTTAATTTTAACCCTAGCTAGTTACCCATTAGCCCTACAAGTCTAACTTCCACTTCAATTTGACAAAAGACTGTACAGTTTACATGGTTCCTTTTTTAGGATGCATCCAAACCCTAATAGGCAAAAAACTAACTTCATCCTTTTTAACCATCTTTACAAAGGCCAAATCTCCATATTCATCTAAAACCAGGTTACTTCTTAAATATCAACTACTAGCGTAATCCCCCCAATCTTGTATAAATAGCACTTCCTTCCATACTTTGCAACACACACTTTGACCAATCTTTCTTTTAACAAACACCGTTTCTAGTCCCTTTCTTTCAGCTACTTAGTTCTCTTGCCTTTCGTCTTTCCACCGTCAAGGATGTTTACCAACCTTTTCCAAGGCCGAGCCAACTCTTGTGAGAGCTCTAACACTCCATCAATCAGGAGGGAAGGACTAGGCCCTCTATTGAGCTTGCAACAACCGGAGGCTTACATTTGCGCACGCTGCTCAAAAGGTTTCCCTTCCTCTCAAGCCCTTGGAGGCCACCAGAATGCTCATAAGAGGGAGCGTAACGAGGAGCGCAAGCAGATGCTGGAGGAGCGAGGCAGAATGATGCTGGAGGAGCGCACCAGAATGATGATGGAGGAGTACCTTTCAATGAAGGAGATGAACTACAACACACATATTCTGTCTCCTCATCCTCTAAAGGCTGTATCTCCAAATGGCGAAGATATGATGCCTTTTTTGACTATGCAGATTCCTATGCCCCATCAAGGCAATGATCTTATGATGAACCCAGAAACATTACTTGCTTTCCATTCTCGAAATGGACAGGCCGGTTTCCTGCCTGGTTTTGGGTTTGGTCCTACTCTTGGTGATACAGTTGCACATCATCAGATCCCATATAGGGTTCATCATGAAAATTGTAATAATGGATCATATGAGATCCCATATGGGGTTTCCCCTTCAAATGACAACAATCATTATCCAGCCTATCCCACAATCAATAATAAGCTGAGACCATGGGAGCTGGATATGAATCCGGTAAGAAACTTAGATCAGTCGACTGTCTGGACGGGGGAGTCATCAAATGCAGCTGTGGAAGATGCAAGTATTGGAGCCCTTCTTAAGAGACAAGAGATGAATGAAGTCACCTTCAATGAGGAGCTGGACTTAACTTTGAGGCTCTAATAATAATAGCAAAACAAAAACAATAAACATGCAGCTATATATGTGATGATAAAAATTAAGATATATAAAATCAAAGAGCTTGTGGTCCATTAACAATAGTCTATATTAACAAACTAGTTTTACTAAAAGTCTTGAATGAATTAAAAAAAATAAAAATTAAGATATATAAATAGTAATAATGATAATCCCGGGTCTAATTGTTGTTCTAGCTAGGACTACCCTTCATCTTTGTTGCATCCTTTTATATTTCTTAATCATGTTTTATGTAGTGTTTTCCTTTTGCAGTATATATGTTAATAACTAATTGTCAAGAAAGAAAAAAAAGAAATGAATCTAGTGTCTTCTTTCAAGAGTTCATTTGTGTTAATATCTCTCTCTCTCTATATATTTTATGTTTTTATAATTAAAAAAAAAAATCAGAGAAAATTGGCTTCAAGATAATCTTTGCTTCTCTAGCTAGGCGATCATAATTAATTGATTTTACTATTTCATTTATCTGAAATTTGACATCTAAACATTTTGACACCGCAAGCAATCTGACATAACTTTGTATTTTATAAGACTTTATCAGAATTAAATTTTCTAATAATTAAATGACATATGTATGTTAAACTCTACCACCAGTTTTCACAACCATTAATTCGTGCTTGTATCAATGAGCTATATAAACATTAAGTAATTGGCTTAACATAAAATGATTTTCAGTATACTACTTTTTAACATTTGAAAGCTCAGACAAATAAGAAGCAGTGTTCGCTAACTAATGATGCGAATTCCTATATAAGCCATGACACCTCCAACCAAATGATATGAGCTATGGATTTTCTATATATGTTGAAAATACGTTGACATATTAATTAAAAACTTAACATAGCTAGCTAGAAGAAATTACAGCCCTAACAATCATATGAAATTTAATTTAGATAAAATTATTATTAGTTGATGTTTGCTAGCTATTGTTAAATGCATCTACAACAACTGTTACATTGTACGTTCTTCAATGTGTTTTCTCTGTTCTTCCTTGCGTAAGGAGAGGGATATGAAAAAATAAAAATAAAAACTCTAATGTCTCACATTATTGTTTTACCAAATGTAGAATTTATGCAAGTTGGCCTATTATTTGACAACAAAGATAGTTCAATAACGGGTATCTAAAAGTTAATTTTAGTTTGTTGATTATGTTGTTCTAAGACTCACAGAAATCCTAGAAGTACAAAGTAATTTTTCTCTATATCAATTCTGCTTTAAAACATCTTGTGTGGTGGCAATGCCTTTTTTTTTTTTCCATTGATTAGAAGAGGAGTTTTATCATGGTATATTTTTCTTCTTTTATTATTATTATTATTATTATTATTATATATGGCACTTCTAGCCAACATTCTTCACATGCATCATATCTCTCTTTGAGCGTTTTCCTTGTTTTCATCGTCAGCATATTGTGCTAGTGTTCTTGCGAAGAAATCTTTCTCCTTCCATTTTTTTCTTCTTTGCGCAGCTTCAGATCCATCACAATGGGTAGAGAGTCAAACTCTAATCAAAACAAAGCTTCTTCTAATGCTCATGGCAGGTTTATTTGCACAACGTGTTTCAGAGTATTCCACACTGGTCAAGCTTTAGGCGGTCACCAAAGTGCCCACCAAGCGGAGAGATCACTTAAGCCTCCAACACCTAATATTTTAGGTGCAGTCCTAAACCACCTTCCTCCAGATGAGGTCCAATTCGTGGCTGCAACCTTGGCTAGATCTAAGTCCAAAAAAGATCAAGCTCAAGGGTGCGAGCCTGAGTTTAACAAACAACAAGATAAGTCCATGCCAATGCCAGGAAATGGTGATCGTAGTGTCAAGCGCAGGTTCCAAAATGGATCTTCTCATCACCATCATTCTTATGAGAGACAAGACAACGAAGAGACTTGGAGGCGAAAGCTCACAAAGAATCTATTAAGGGAAGAGAAACCAACAAATATTGTTGGGGAAGACGCAGGGTTGGAAAGAGTTTTTACAACCACCATAACCAATCAAAATGTTAGGGTTTCAAGGGTAGAACCTATTGATGATCTTGAACTTAAATTGAGTAGAAGTGAGGATTTGGACTTGGAGTTGAAACTAGGGTTTTGATGAGACCCTTTCTTTAGCTCTTCTTCTTTTGTTTCTTCTTTTTTTGTCTGTTCCCTTTCTAGCTTCTTGGTTGTAATGTTTAGTCTTGTAAACAATGGTCAATTAACTTGAATCCAATGCATGCTTTATTCATACTCACAAAATGCAATCACGCTTTATATTAATTTGAATTAATGAGAGTATAATTTCGATCTTCTTTTATTTATAATAATTATTATAAACAAATTTGAGCAAAGATTTATTATTTACAGTTTACTAATTAAGAAAACAAGTTTACTCAGTAGATCAATTCATTGATCACATGCCAGTAGATGAAGTCTCACAACAAATAGTAAACGAAAAATTTAAAAAATATTTGGCCAATAACGTAAGAGAGGATTCAATATGAGAAAACGATGTAGATTTTGGTTGTGTATTCAGAATTTAAAATTGAGAATTTTATTTTTTCCAAGAAGAAAAATTTGGCCAACATAATTAATAACTTTTGACTGGAATTTCTTTTTATTGAAATTATTTTTTTCAATTTTAAGTTTAGTAGTCCACAATTTATTGTTGTGAGATTAAATTTTAGAAATTTTTTTTCTGTAATTTAATTTTAAATTCAAAAAGTTTTGAAATGGATTTGATGTTATTAAGTTTGTTAGGTATTTCAATATAGCTTCTGATAATTTTTGTATCTTTTGGTTTTAAAGATCATGAAAGAGAGACAATGTTCGTGGGTATTGTGTTTTTTTTTTCCTTTAATTTTTCTAACTAAATTTTGTTTATTTTGAAAGAACCGATTTCTAATTTTTATTTTTCCTAAGAGTTAAATACATATTCTAACATATCTAGTTAATAATTAGGGGAAATGGTTGAGTCCTGTCTAATCTGTCTTATATTTTAAAAATAATCAATTATATTTTTATATTTCAATCGAATTTTTAATTTATTTTTATGATAAATTTTTTTTTGCCAAACCAAAAAAAAAAAAAAAAAATCACGTGACTTGCACATGGTTAATTTTTTTTTTTCAAAAATACCCCTAAAAATTTCACATAACTTGCACGCATTCAGTTGAGGGGTATTTTTTTTAAAAAAAAAAAAATTAGTCATATGCAAGTGAAGTGATTTTTTTTTTTTATGATTTTTTTGGAAAAAAATTCATTAAAAAAAAAATTGAACACTAATCCTATTATATAAGGACAAACTAAGCTATTTTTTCTGATAATTATACAGTACATGTAAATGGATAAACTCAATAAGATATTATAGCATACAACTCCTTAAGATATGGCAAACAAGGAATTGTAAAAAACTGTGAATTATATGTACTTATTACTTAGCTAATTAGTAAATAGCAAGCAATAAATCTTGACTCTCACACACATACCGAATGAAAAATTATGCATAATTAATTATTGATTTATTTATTAAAAGTTAGTCAAACAAGTTAGGAGGTGTGCAACTCAATAACATATAAGCATATATAAAAATTCGAAAAACGATATGCATTTTAGAAATCTATTAATTTTGTTCTGGTATTGTCCCTTTCATAAGCAAAATCATTAATCGGAAAGTCATCAATAAACTTACGGTACTTATGTATTTATGATAATGTAATAATATCAAATCCAAGTGCATTAGAATGGCTTAAAATCGAAGCTAACTGTTTCCTGAATGAGTTGGCCCAATACGATGGCTAGTCTTGTTCTTCAACCACGAAACCAGACATTTTAAGCTCTTATGACTAACCCTTTCGACCACCTTACATTTGGAATCAGTTTTGTATAACATGGCAACCTATGCATGATATATACATACGTGGTTAGATGGATTTGCTTTTCGACGTGGGTTCATCTGGTGAAGGCTAACGTTGCTTATGTTTAAAATCAATCAATGCTTCCTTATCCCATAGGTAAAGGTAAGTTATTCTTTGTTAGATAGACATTGGTGTTTTCTTCTCCTTTTTAAAATGGAAAAGCAGGTGAATGATGTGAAAGAGGGGTAGATATACAGGACACAAGACTTCCTTTTTTTTTTTTTGGTATGTTCTTTAAAATATGACCAGATTAAATGAAAGGGTTCATTCTTTTAATCCCTCTTGTTTAAGAAGTGATTCAATCAATTAAAATGTTTAAAATGAATGGTGTAAAATGATTTTATTCGATTAGACAAAAAAAAAAAAAAAACTATTAGACTAACCAGTATGTATTTCCATGCATATACAAATGTAAAAGAGAGAATAGAGATGATTAGATTGAAACTTATGACTATTTGGTTATTAACACTATATCAAAAAAATCATTTAACCTATAAATCTTAACTTGTTAGATGAAGTTTTGAGACATAATTTATATTATTCTTTTCTCTAACACATTCACTTAAGTGAAAGCCTCTTGTGTTTAATTAGAAGTGATTGTGTTGAAATAATTATTTAATATGATATATGTTAGCAAGTAATATTATAAATTATTTTTGAAGTCGCATTTAATGGTTTAACTTTTTGGGTTAAGATGATTATCAAGAAAAAATTTTAAAATACTCAAAGATAACTTATAATAGTTACTCTATGAATCCATTCTGAAGAAACACAAAGAATAAAGAAAAAAAAGGGTCAAAGGTACTCTAGGATATCCTTCTACTCGTTTTATTTATTTTAATCATGTTCCTATACTAAATTTTTTTTTTAATAATCTTGTGCCTCTATTCTTAATTTGTGTCTTAATAATAGATTAACTTTTTGAGTTCGTATGATTATCAAGAATTTTTTTAAAATACTCAAAGATAACCGATGATAGTTACTCTATGAATCAATTTTGAAGAGACACAAATAATACGAAAAAAAGGTTAAAGGTCCAAGATGTCATTCTATTTTTTTATTTTTCTTAATCGTATTCCTCTACTAATTTTTTTAATAATCATATTCTTCTATTCTTAATTTGTGTCTTAATTTCGTTCCTCCCGCCAAATTTTCCGGTAACTACATCAATTTCTAACGACAGATTTATAGAATGCCGACATGTGGCATTTAAAAAAAAATTCTGAAAAAAAATTAAAAAATACTTAAAAAATATGAAAAAATAAAAAAATTCCAAAATGCCCCTCTTTTTCTCTACATTTATTTATATAAATAAATAATAAATTTAATCCCTCAAATTTTTTATTTATTTTTTGCTTTCTCTTAAATTTAAAAAAAAAATTGTGTATAGGAAAGAATAGAAGCAATTTTTTTTTATTTCAGAAATTTATTATGAGAATTTATTTAAAATCCAAATCCAAGAAAAAAATTATGAAATTTTTTTCAAAGTATAAGAATAAAAGCAAAAACTAGATAAAAAGGACATTTTATGATTTATAATTAGTTTTATGTATAGAAAAGAACGAAGCAAAATTTTATTATTTATTTTAGAAATTTATTATGAAAATTTATTTCAAATCCAAACCAAAAAAAAATAAAAATTCATAACGTAAGAATAAAAGCAAAAGGCGAGATAAAAATTAAAGAACATTTTAGGATTTTTTGATTTTTTTAATTTTTTTCAGAATTTGAGAGGAAAAAAAAGATAGATGAAGTTAATTATTTATTTCTATACCTAAAGGGTAAGAAAAAGAGAGGCATTTTTGGATTTTTTTATATTTTTTTCAGATTTTTTTTGAAAAAATGCCATATGTCGATATCTTGATAGTCTATCGTTGAAAATTGATGCGATTATTGAAAAAATTGGCAAGAGGGACATAATTAACATACAAATTAATAGTAGAGGGACACGATTATTGAAAAAATTAGTAGAGATACATGATTAAAATAAATGAAATAGTAGAAGAACATCCTGGACCTTTAACTCGAGAAAAAAATCACCTTCAAATCTATCAAAAATAATAAAAATATTTTCAATTAAGTTTATATATATATATCCTATTTCTTTCTTCTCTTTGTGTCTATCTTTATGTAAAATAAGTATTGTTAATTATTTTGAAGTAAGATAAAAAAATGTTGGGATCATGAGACTCAATCCTATTGCTCCCATTCTTTTAATTAAATACATATTTTAGTAGTGGTGAGCCTATATAAGTATTAAATTAAAGGTTTTTTTTATTTAAGGAGATGTGTTAGAATTAATATAAAATTATTTTTAAAATTTTATCTAATAACTTAAGTTTTGAATTGAAATAGTTGTTTGACAAGTGCATTTGAATAAATTCCAAAGATAATTCAGAGGTTAATTTTATGTTAGACTTAATTTAACTTTGACAGCATTGAATTAATGTCATATTAAGAAAGTTGGTGCCAATGTAATAAAATGATTGGCGCTTCCATATGCATAAGCTGCCATTAAATATAGTCAAATCCATTTAAAAAAAAGAAAATTTGGTAAATTAATTGGGTTAATTATATTACAAGATAATTTTTTATCTATGTTTTTATCTCTAACTGAACCAATTTCATTCTTGAATATGTTAAATGAACATCTCAACCTAAAGTTTAACCATTAGAATGAAGCTCCAATATATAATTTTGTAATTTATATTACTCTCTAAGATAACTCCATAAGTAAAAGCCTTTTAGACAGAGGTTAAAACTTGCACTCGGACACACAATGATGATAAGATTCAAATTCGTGATTATTCAATCATCAAAACTTTAATATTATGTCAAAAAATCATCTCAACATAAAAATTTAAACTTTTAATTGAACCTCTAAGAATAGATGTTAAGTTTCTATTTTGTTTTTCCGATAAGATTTTTAAACTAAATTATCGAAAGCAACCACATAATTTGTATATAAAAATGTTTTACTTGTCTGACCTGTAAAAATATTTTGAAAATAAAAAATAATTTTGTACAAACCGCGTGCTTAATTTAGATTATTTGTCTTGAAAATTATACCATAAAGATAGATTAAAAGCTTAATATATATTAAGAATAAAACTAACCTAATTAGAGTTATAAGAATATATTAAAAAATTATCTTATTACAGGAAGATATATTTGAGTCATTAACCCAAATTAAATTTTGACCATTAGTTTATTGTCTAATTAAGTATAGTTATTTCGGTATATCCAAGGATTGTTATCTAGTTGTAGTTTTCACCGCGTGAGAACTGTGAAAGCATGCATTGACAATGCTATTCTGCCAAAAGTTACTACGTACTACTCCTGTTTTTAACTGAGACGTTGCAGCCATGCAAGTGGTGGACCTCAATCATTTGATAGCAAAGACGGAATTTTGAGGATAACTCTGACCTTAAGTTAAACATATCCTCACTAACTTAATCTTATTTCTCTCTAGATTTTTACCTTAAATTGAGAGAGAGAAAAAAAGGAAAAAAATCTAGAGAGATATCAATGTAATAATTAAGTTGTGCTAAAGCGTACCTTTGCACTGCGAGATTTGAGAATTTGGAGAGATTTTTTTTATTTTTTATTTTGAGAGAAATTGATTAACAAGTGATATATGTATACTCGCCAAATTTTAGTAGGTTTTGTTTTTGAAAATGAATTCCAATTAATATTGACAAAAAACATTAGATTCTGGTTGTCTCTATTAGTATCGTAAGCGTAAAAACATAAATTATTTTCTTTTCTTAACCTTGTTTTCCTTGTAAAAAGCATTATATTAAAAGACGAGTAATGCAGTGGGTTGCCTCTATGTTTATACAGTAAATCTGTCACAACTTTCAAAATCTAATCAACTTCAACACAATGTAACCTATTTTGAAGTCCGAAATTCCTTTATAAACTTGTCACCAAGCCATTTTCTTATACATCAAGACTACCCTCCTCTTCCTCTCTTATGAAATTGTCCTTGTTTTCACCGTTAAAAAACACTAATTAGCCTTTCTTTTTACTCTTTCTTCTCTTCATTATTTCCTCCTATCTATATAAATCCGTTCACCTTTTCACTCTTAACGATGGCAAAAGATAATGATACTCGCTCTGATGAAAGAACTGTCACTTCCAAGCTTAGAAGCGGATACATATGTACATATTGTGACAGAGAATTCAATAGTGGGCATGCATTAGGTGGGCACTATAATGCCCACAGCAAAAAGAGAAAAAGAAAAAATATGCCCACAACTGTAGGAAGACTCATAAGAGTCCCTGTTCCTGCCACTGATGTTGAGTCACCTGCTACACCAAGGCATGAATCCGGGTCCACTCAAAGTTCTTCGACACTAGAGGTGCAATCTGGTGTCAATTATGAAAGTGGAGAAGAATCCTCGTCTACACGACCACTAGGAGGCCTTGGGAAAAATCTTAAGGTAAATATTGGATCTCATCATTCTCATCCTTATGAAAGGGATGTGAAGGAAGAGGCTCCTCAAAATGGGAGACTCCCAAATACAATGACACCAATGCATGGCGTCAGGATTAATAATGGGGTAAATGCGGATCTTGAGATAACCATAACTAGTCCTATTTTTAAAGTTTCTAGGAAAGAAAATGGTGATACCAAGTTCATCTCATCAAATAAAAATGGGAATGAAGACTTGGACTTGGAGTTGAGACTAGGGTTTGGACCAGTTTGAAGCTTTTTTAAAAAAAGCTTTTCTAATCTCTACCTGTATATAGAGGCATTTCTTGAAATTCGTGCTTTCATGGTCGTGACCTTGATTCACGTTTGGTAAAATCATTTCTTTACCTTAGACAGAAAGAATTGACTGCCAAACATAACCATGATAATTGAGAATTTGAAGTTAAAAAGGAAGGTCCTAGGAGAGATATATGGCGTAATAAAGGTCCAATTGTTTAGGGTTTATTTTCCTTTGTTGGTCATTGTAATAGAAGCAATGAATTTATCTGAAATATATATGTTCTACTTATCCTTTTATTTTAAGATTGTATTTGGTGTTTTTCTTAGTTGAATTCTTTTAAATTACTTTGGCTTTTTAATCAGTCAAGTAATTAAAGGCAGGATTAACAATTACTCCTATAACAATAATTTCTTGTAGATTAATTATCATCCTGAAACTCATCAATTCTAAGTTATATATGTCCACTATTTCTTACCATCACAACTAATTTTTTTGTGCGCGAATTTATTTATTTCTTATTTCTTGTAACAATTTGTATTATCAAATGTTATATTGGATTGCTATTCAAAATAAATTTACCTCTATTTCCATTAAATTTAATCTTTGATATAACAATAATTTTATCATAATATATGATCGAGTTAAAATTGAATGATACCAAGGAACGAGAGACAATAAAGTATTTTGAAAATTGATTTATAAAGAAGTGTTTATGAAATCAGGAAAAGTTGAAGACTATATTCACTAAAAAGCTATATAAATTTGTAAGGAATCCATTGATAGATGAAGTTATTAGCTAGATGTGCCTTCAGGTTCCTTGATTAATTATTTGAGTATGTTCGCAAATTATAAACCCTGCTGTGGATTTTAAAAATCAAGCCAAAATATAGAGCATATTTACTAAGTAAAAAATTCATTTCAACATATGAAAAATTAAGAAATCATTATGAACCTAACATCATATTGGTATTGAATAATGTCTGTAGCAAGATATAACAAAACAAGACGTGATTTTAAATTAAGGACTAATATCATCACATGTCCTTATATAATAGGTCAAATCTACAATCTGTTTCTAAATCTAAAAATGTCTCCAATCTATCCATATTATTTAAGTTGTTTTTTAATCTATCATTTTGGTCAATTTATTAAAATTAATTTTCATATTAATAGATATATATATCACTTGTATCAAAGAATAAAAATAATTTTTTCAAATCACGTACATGTGCAAATCACATGCTTAATTTGATCGAAGATTTTAACTAAAAGAATAGATTAGAAACTAGCTCAAATAACTGAAATAGATTGGAAGTGTCTTTGAATTTAGGAACATATTGAAAATTTGGCTTGTTGTATAAGGATATGTGAGAGTATTAATCCTTAAATTAAAGCAACAATTTGTAGATGAATTTTTCATTTTTGAGAGATGATCATAAATTACTTGTATACGAAGTCCAAATTTTTTTTATATTGATAATCCAAGCTATGTTAAATGAATAATCTTATAGTTTAGGAAAATGTATCTTTACATAAAACATTTTTTATTGTAAGAAATTTGTTTAATTGATAATAAAAATAAATCTTGAAGTCTACTATGATATTCACTTATTCTTATCATAGAGTTAGATAGTTGAGATTTCATTCCATTTAGAAAATTTAAATCTTATGGTGAGTGATTCATTATATAAATTTTATATTCTTGTATTTATTCAATGTGAGATATGTTTCCTCTACAAGCTTAATCCTCTTGGCACTACTTGATCGAGGTCTCAAAAAAAAATTCCTCACTCCCTCTTCTACTCTATAATTAGGCATGAAACTTGGCTCAATTGTTGATCTCTTTGCTCGCAACTCTTTAGCAATCTCCTTCTGCTCCTCCTCAACCATCAATGCTTTTCCCACCACATCATTATAAGTTATGCCCGAGGACATCCTTACCATACTCTTTACTACAAGATTGAGTCCCCTCATAAAATGATTCCCTTTTAAAGCTACTTTTCTAGAAATAAAGGGAACAAACTAATAATCTTACTTAAATTTCCTCAAACACTCAACCACTAACAATCCTTCTTATTTCAACTCAATTAACTCTTGGACGTTCTTGAATGAGAAATTATTAGTAAAGTACTTTTTGTAGAATACCTTCGTGAAGCTTGTCTAAATGAGGTTAGGTATATACAAATACATTTTAGCTACATCCAACAAGTCCTAACATCTTGTACCATCATAAATATAGCACAAGAAACTCTATCAAGCATCACACAAACCCAAATGCTCAAAGATGACTTCCAAAGACTTCACTCACTCTTCATCTATCAAAGGGACTATTCCACCAATGAATTCATTTGAATTCATCTTCCTAAATCACTCACTAACATAACCTCTTCATTATGTAGCTCTTTGTTGTTCTTGCTGTTGTAACGCCAACATTAACCTCATATACTTATCATGCTTTTCTTATCGCTATCGATTCATAGCTTATTATTGTTGTAACAAATCCATCATTCATTACATCATTGGCCCATTATTCTTCCTCTCATTTCTAACTTGATTTCTTGGTCCAGTTGCATCAATATTCTTTTTTGGTGACGTTCGTGCCAATAATCACTTATCAATCTCATGCACACACTATCAAGTATCATTGGTTCACTAAATCTAATCTTATTTCTAACATAAGTAATAAATTTGAAATGAAAAATCAACATAAATAAGTATAATTTAAATCAAATAATTCATATAACATAAAATAAATAAAAATAATTCACACAATGTAAAATAAACAAAATATTTAACATAATATAAAATAAACAAGATTAATTGACATAAAGTAACATAAACACTTACACGTTGATCATGCTTACAGGTATTAAACTATTGTGTCCTATCTAAGTCCATAGGATCGACAAAACATAAGCTTTGATACCCGGACCCATACATTATGACATCGCAAGTAGAAAAAGGATGCACATAATAATAGCTCAACCTAAATATAAGTAAAAATCCTTTCATGTAAATAAGATCTAATTTAAATAAAATCAAAATATAATAACTAAAGTCCGAACATTTCATCATAGGATTATAACTTGACATATAGAATATGAAATCTCAAACTTTTCAACACAAGTCATAACTAAACATATTTACCAAAATATAAAACTATATACATGCTAGAACATCAAACATAAACATTAAATTAAGAGGTCAACTAGCAAAAGATCATAAACATAAATACATAATAAAATTCAAGTTGCCACTTAAACCTAACAATTGAATAGCCAAATGGATAAAAGTCTAACCCCTACACAACAGATGAGCTCGAGGAGCACCGGTATCGTTAACACTACGGAGACCTCGTGAGCCAAAAGCTCGCCACCTACACCATAAGACAAAACATGAGCTAATACCCAATAAGCATGGTCATGTGTGATATTTTATAAACTTTTATGATGTATGTGAATACATTTTTTCTTATGCGTGTATCCCACTAGATGTTATGTCTAGTCCTCTTTTCATTTACCAAAACTCGCACATTTACTAAATCTTGTCTTTACCATTTGCCTTTACTAAAATCTTTGCCTTTCATTCACAACATGAGTTTAATGCATATTATGAAATATATAAATCTATACTCATGATGTAAATGCATATAAAAATGCACCTAAGGACTTATTTAATCACACATCACATTCACGTATAAAATCATTATGGTGAGTTGAATCATGACTATCGTAGTTCTTTTATAATTCAACAATTATCCTCCTCAAGCAATTAAATTTCTACCATTTAAAAAATTCAAAATAAATCTTTTACTTAAATTAATAAACTCATAAATAGATTCATTGCTCAACAATTAACTAATAAATTTTAAAGTTCATATTTCACTATTGACCATCTTCAACCTTTTTAAAAATATTTTATCCTTGCAAAAACACTTTCATAAATTACATATTCAACCTTTCTAAAATATTTTACCCTTATAAAAATACTTTCATAAACAACAAACTAAATTTTTAGCTCATCTAAGCTACGCAACATCCTACATGTAAAAAAAAAAAAAAAACAACTTAATGAATTAAATCCTAAAATAATTCATAAAAAATATAACCAATTAAACTCTAAATTAACTTCATGAATCATTAACGCAAGATAATTAATCATAATATAAAAAATTAAAATTAATTAAATTATACTTTTTTCTCAAATGGGTCTTAAAACCCTAACTTTATCAATCGTAGCTTAAATAACAAACCAACCCATCATAATCAAATCTCATAATCATCCATAATCATCTAAGAAAACATCGGATATGATATGGGATAAGTAGAAGAGAGAAGAAGAAGGCAAAATAAAGGAAGGAGGCAAGAAGGAGAGGAGAAAAAGAAGAAAAATTATGTTAAATTATTGTATATATCTCATTATGTGTTTTTGTTTTACCTCTTATACTATTCTTACTTGACAATAACATATAACTCTAACACACCTATACTAACATTAATGACCTAAGTCCGGATGCACCTTAAACTCTTAGTGGCAATAACCCTAAATTTGGCCCAAACATTAATTGGCCTTTTTTTACATATAATAGGTAAATTCATAATTCCCAAATCAATTCAAGATCTAAACCATTTGATTTTGTGCTCGTTAAATGTTCTATTTCGGATGTTGGAGTATAGCTTCTCTAGTAGTAAGGTAAAAATTCATAGCTTCTATTTAGGAATCTTTTGAAAAGTAAGGTAGGTGAATAAAGGGTAAAAACTCATATAGTACCTCAAAAGGTGTGAGTTTAGCAAATGAGTAAAAAGTGGTGTTATACCACCTCTTAGCCAAAAAAAAAAAAAAAAGCCACTTAAACCATTCTAAGGAGGGTCTCCTATCATATACCATAGATAAGTCTCTAAAAGTCGATCAACCACCTTAGTTTGACCATCTAAATGAGTGTGGTATGCTTTTCAGCAATTACTAAGAAAAATAGGATTTATGTCACTAATAAT